ACAGAAATACAAATGATTGTTAAAAAATACTATGGACAGCTCTACTCCAACAAACTAGACAACATGAAGGAAATGGACAAATTCCTAGAAAAATACAACATTACAAAACTCAATCAGGAAGAATCTAAAAATCTCAACAGGCCAATAACTATCGAAGAAATTGAAGCAGTCATCAAAAAGCTTCCAGCAAACAAAAGCCCAGGACCAGACGGCTTCACAGGGGAGTTTTACCAAACATTCAAGGAAGAACTAAAACCTATCCTCCTCAGACTACTACAAAAAATTCAAGAGGAAGGAACACTTCCAAGCTCATTCTATGAAGCCAGTATCACCCTAATACCAAAACCAGGTAAAGACAACACAATGAAAGAGAATTACAGGCCAATATCCCTCATGAACATAGATGCCAAAATCCTCAACAAAATCTTAGCAAATCGGATCCAGCAGTACATCAGAAAGATCATACACCATGACCAAGTAGGATTTATCCCAGGGATGGAAGGATGGTACAATATCCGCAAATCAATAAACGTGATACATCACATAAACAAATTGAAAGAAAAAAACCACATGGTCATATCAATTGATGCAGAAAAAGCATTTGACAAAATTCAACACCCATTTTTGATAAAAACTCTCAGCAAGGTGGGAGTAGAAGGATCATACCTCAACATAATAAAAGCCATATATGACAGGCCCACAGCCAACATCATACTCAATGGACAAAAACTAACACCATTTCCCCTAAGAACAGGAACAAGACAGGGATGCCCCCTCTCACCACTCTTGTTCAACATAGTACTGGAAGTGTTAGCCATTGCAATCAGACTAGAAGAAGAAATAAAAGGCATCCAAATTGGAAAAGAGGAAGTAAAACTGTCCTTATTTGCAGACGACATGATATTATACATACAAAACCCTAGAGACTCCATCAAAAAGCTACTAGACTTAATACATGAATTTGGCAATGTAGCAGGATACAAAATTAACCCCAAGAAATCTGAGGCATTTCTATACACCAATAGTGAAATTTCAGAAAGAGAGATTATAAAAACAACCCCGTTTACCATCGCCCCCCAAAAATTAAGCTACCTAGGAATAAACTTAACTAAAGAGGTAAAAGACCTCTACTCAGAAAACTACAGGACGTTGAAAAAAGATATAGAGGAAGACATAAACAGATGGAAGAACATACCGTGTTCATGGAATGGTAGAATCAACATCATTAAAATGTCCATACTACCCAAAGCAATCTATAAATTCAACGCACTTCCCATTAAAATACCAACGGCATACTTCAGAGATCTAGAACAAACTCTCCAAAAATTTATCTGGAATAAAAAAAGACCCCGAATAGCTGCAGCAATCCTGAAAAACAACAAAGTAGGTGGGATCTCAATACCAGATATCAAGCTGTATTACAAAGCCACTGTTCTCAAAACTGCCTGGTACTGGCACAAGAATAGGCATATAGATCAATGGAATAGAATAGAGAGCCCAGAAATCAGCCCGAACCAATATGCTCAATTAATATTTGACAAAGGAGGCAAGAACATACAATGGAGCCAAGATAGTCTCTTCAATAAATGGTGTTGGGAAAATTGGACAGATATATGCAAGAAAATGAAACTAGACCACCAACTTACACCATACACAAAAATAAACTCAAATTGGATAAAGGACTTAAATGTACGACAGGAAACCATAAAAATTTTAGAAGAATCTAAAGGCAACAAAATCTCAGACATATGCCAAAGCAATTTCTTCACTGATACAGCTCGTAGGGCACTTGAAAATAAAGAAAAAATGAACAAATGGGACTACATCAAAATAAAGAGCTTCTGCACAGCAAAAGAAACCATCAACAAAACAACGAGAAAACCCACTGTGTGGGAAAACATATTTGCCAATGTCATATCTGATAAGGGCCTAATCTCCAAAATTTATAGGGAACTCATACAACTTAACAAAAGGAAGATAAACAATCCAATCAAAAAATGGGCAAAGGACCTAAATAGACACCTTTCAAAAGAGGACATTCAGAAAGCCAAGAGACATATGAAAACATGCTCAAAGTCACTAATCATCCGAGAGATGCAAATCAAAACAACAATGAGGTACCATCTCACACCTGTCAGACTGGCTATCATCAACAAATCAACAAACGACAAGTGCTGGAGAGGATGTGGAGAAAAAGGAACACTTGTGCACTGCTGGTGGGAATGCAGACTGGTGCAGCCACTATGGAAGACAGTATGGAGTTTCCTCAAAAAACTGAAAATGGAACTCCCATTTGACCCTGTGATCCCACTTCTAGGAATATATCCCAAGAAACCAGAAACACCAGTCAGAAAGGATATATGCACCCCTATGTTCATAGCAGCACAATTCACCATAGCTAAGATCTGGAAACAGCCTAAGTGCCCATCAGTAGATGAATGGATTAGAAAACTGTGGTACATCTACACGATGGAATACTATGCTGCTCTAAAAAGGAAGGAACTCTTACCATTTGCAACGTCATGGATGGAACTGGAGAGCATTATGCTAAGTGAAATAAGCCAGTCAATGAAGGAAAAATACCACATGATCTCACTCATTCATGGATAATAGAGACCATTATAAACTTTTGAACAATAATAGATACAGAGGCAGAGCTGCCTCAAACAGATTGTCAAACTGCAGGGGGAAGGCCGGGGAGGGTTGGGGGGCAGGAGGTAGGGGGGTAAGAGATCAACTAAAGGACTTGTATGCATGCATATAAGCATAACCAATGGACATAAGACACTGGGGGATAGGGGAGGCTAGGGGACTGTCTAGAGCGGGGGGATAAAATGGACACATATGTAATACCCTTTGTAATACTTTAAGCAATAAAAAAAAAATGGAAAAAAAAAGAAAGTACGTGAGTAAAATTAACTCATAGTGGAATCTTTACACTACACACACAACTTCTAGTGCTTATTTATTAAAAAACACAATCAGCATTCTTTCAGATTGCCTGTGTCAGGGTGAAGATGGAGCCTTCCTTCTTGTTATCCTCATTACTACTGCCAGCCACCTCTGTATCTCTGTCCCTCCTACGGTGAGGAGAGTGCTAGGTGACAGTTCATATATTTCCCTGTTTTGCTCTCCTTCCATGAAGAAAACATAGGAAGTAGTGAGATTTCGCTTGGACGTTTGGATGGCCACTCTGCTGGGGGCAGGATTACATTCTGGAGCCCACAGAAATCCCTGCCCTTCACCCCAGCTGCCACTGCCCTCAGACACCAGGATCCATACCTTGGGCCTGACTCTCCCTTGGCCTCAAGCCTTGTGATCTCAGATTCCTGGGACAGTTCTTGCTGGAGATTCCCATGGGTCAAAGTTCCCAGGTTCAGGGGGACAATAGTTGTACTCGATTGAACAATCCCTGTTTCATACTTTGGGCCAAAATAGTCCAGCCCCAAAGCTGTATTATGGGATTATGTCCTTTTGAGCAATGTCTTACAAGTTCTGCTCTGCCATCTATCCTTCATTGCTGCTGTATCCTGGTGACAACAGAGGGGTGTGTCCTCAACACCTTGCCATTTAGTTCACAAACAGGAAACCTGAAGGGTCAGTAGGAATGTGAAGAGCTGTGCAAGCTCACCAGTACTCAGAGAAGTGTAAATTAAAACAACACGGAACTATCACCTTAGGTACGTGAGATGGGCAGACATGCGAAGGTTGCTAACAGATGTGTCAGTCAGGATGTGAGGAAATCAGGACTCTCTACACAAGAGGACAGTGAGGCTCAGTGAAATTAAGCACACATATGCCCTGTCCCCAGCATATCTCATTCCTGGTATATGTCCAGGTAAAGTTCCATGTCCACCTGCAGGGCACGTGAAGCAAAGTATTCATGACACTGGTGTTGTAGGAACTGGGAGTTGAGGGCATCTAAGTGCCCTTCGCAAGTGGTACTGGTAAATTCAATGAACTTGGTTGGTTTCCTCCAAAACCAGACCCTGAGATGAGGGTTTGCACTTAGGTGTTTTCTTTGGGAGGTGATTTAAGGAAGCACCAGCACAGAGTGGGAAAGGCAGAGTCAGGGGCACTTTGAGAGTCAATAAAGGGAACATATTGGCAGGTGCCCTCAGTGAACAATAAGAACTTAATCTCACTAGAGGACATTGGGAGCCATTGTTGTTTGTGCATCAGAGTAATTGCACTTGAGCAAGTAGAACTTGAGGGTATTTATCCTTCAACTGCCATCATCCTGGGCTGAGTGGTGGTCACAGGGGCACTAAGTTGCAGCTCCATCTGCCTGCCCAAGCACAGGCCAAGAGAAAGGCCTCCCAAATCCATGCAGCAGGACACCAGAGCTATGGACTAGAACCATTAGTGCCAAAAAGAGGGCATGAAGCAACAACTGTGTCCCGTAGACAGGCTTTAAGACGCAGCACAGAGGAACTGCAGAAGAAACAGCAAGAGTTATACAGCAATATCATTAACGTGAATTAAAAACACAAGCAGCAACACCCCGTTACTGTGGACACATCACACTCACACCATATATTCAGACTAATTTGGGGGGCAGGGAGTGGTGAGTGGTACTGAGGATGGGGGATGACTGGCAGAAGAATAAAAACCAAGTGGCTTCATGGAGATTGATGAAGAAATGGTATCATAAATTTGGGAGAGTAATTTTAGATCTTGATTTTTTTCCTGCCTCTTCTAGTTTAATGAATATGCTTTTCCGGGACCGAGGTAAACCCTCACCTCCCCCATTACACCTAGGACATCTGGCTTCAGGCTCCCTAAAGCAAGGACTGTGTCAAATACAAGATCATTCCCCTCACTGCCTGTGTGACCTAAGGCCCATCAAATAATGTAGCCTCCACCCTTCTTCAATGAATACATTTGAACAGGAGGTACACAGGACAGCCTAAGGCCCCACAACTACATTTCCCAGAGATCCCTGTGTGACTACAGGGAGGGGCTGTTTGGAAAGCCAGGAAGGGCACTTCCTGTACTGACCTCAAGTGGGAGGAGTGAAGTCAGTCTAGTTCCTGGTGTGGATCCTAGTTGAACTGGGTAAGTGACTCTTTTTAGCTTTGAAATGGGGGCTTTTTCCTATCTAAAATGTGAGTCCAGGACGCTAGATACTACAGTGCGCTTGAATTCCAAGTCCAGAGGTGGTTCAGAAAGGTGACACCTACTTAGAATCCTTATGCTGTAAGGACTGTGCATGTGAAGATAATGGACCCTTGATTCAAACTGTCTGTGCCCACAGCAGCAGGTGCCCACAGCAGCACCTGCGGGGCTCTTTTTCGGTAACCTGCTCTTTCCCTGCCCCAGGGCCCTCATTTTAGTTTCTCACAAAACGGCTGACCCCACCTTCTCTCACTCAAAAATAGTAACAACTTCCTGTCAATTATCTAATGTACCCTGCCCAGAGACTTATTTCTTGGCCCTTTATGGGTTTTAAAAGTTCAGAGCCAACTTTAAAAAGTACGCTGATATCACCTGTACGTCTGAGTTTGTCTGAGTTTCTGCTTTTCCTTAGGAGTGGGAAAAACAAAATCAAAAACAAAAACCCACTCGAAACTCCCCTGTTACACCTGATCTCCACGCGTGGGACTCTCTGGGCCACCTCACAGGCTCTCAGAACACCAAGCAGAGTTGAAGGAGGGTCTGTGGGTGAGGCTTGCCTGACAACCTCTTTCCCATCCAGAAAATCACTGGGCTGGCCACTTGCACCTGGGACTGAACTAGGTTGTAGTGTCCTTTCAGGGGGTCTCAGAGCCGAAATAAAAGGAAAGGGAAGGGAAGAAAGGGAAGGAAGAGGAGGGGAGGGGCAAGGGAAGGGAAACGGAGAGGAAAAGAAAATAACAGCACAGGCCAGAAAAGCCACTCAGGAACACTCCTTAAAATTCTCCTAATCAACTCAGCAATTCCATTCCTTGGTATAAACACAAAATCATTGAAAACACATGCTGTACTGAAAAATGTACTTAAGCACATTCACAGCGGCACTATTTACAACAGTCAAAGGTGGAAACAAGCCAGATGCTCACCAAGGAAGGAAGAGAGAAAGGAAAATAGTGAGTCCATACCATGGAACATTGCTCAGTCATAAAAGGGAAAGAAGTATTGACATGTGTCACACAATAAGTGAACCTTGGAAACGTTATGCTAAATGAAAGGAGGCAGCCACAAAATGTGCCATGTTATATGATTACGTTTTTGTGAAATATCCGGAATAGATAAATCCACAGAGACCGAACGTAGAGTGGTGGCTGCCAGGGGCTGGAGGGAATGGGGAGTAACTGCTCAGTGGGTATGGGGCTACATTTCGTGCTAATGACATATTTTGAAACTAGATAGAAGTGGTGATTGCGCAAAATTGTGAATGTACCAAATGGTACATCTGTTCCACTTTAACATGGTTAGTTTTATATTATGTGACCTTCACATCAGATATTTTAAAAAGTCTATTCAGAAATGCCAGGAATCCCGGGAGTGGGGTTGACAATTTCACCCCAGTCCGGACGTGTACTGTGCGGCTTGTAGCCTTGGGGTGGCGGCAGCATTTCTCCTCCTTCCCCAGGTCCTCATTTCAGTTCCTCAAGCACAAAACAGGGCGTCCACTCCTCCCCTCAAAAGGAAATTTTTAAGTTGTCAATTCTCTGTTGTCCAGAGACTTTTTGCTTGGCCTTTACCATCTTCAGCTGAGCAGCTGTTTCTGTGGACTGGCTCTCGGGCCTGCTCCCGGGACCTGCCTGACCTCTGCAGGCATTCACCCAGTGGTGGGGCTGAGAGGCAAGCTCAGTGCACCATGGCCTGTTGAACGATGGCCTCTGAGCAGGACTAGCCTAGCAACTTCCATTTCCATCCAGAAAGTCAAACAGCTGGCCACTTGCCCATGGGAAGGGAGGTAGGTGATAGTGTCATTCCAGTGAAATGCCAGCCTTCGCTGGGACAGAGAAAAGGAAAGGGATAGAAAAAGAAAACAAAACACCCACAAAGAAAGTCACTCCCTATCACTCCTCAAAATTCTATTCTGCACCAGAAATCTAGACAGTAGGTATATTTCAATCCATAATTGAACTTGTGCTGCCTTATAGCCTTGAGGTACGACAGCACCATCTCATGGGTGAACTAGCTTTGGATCAATCTGTTTTTAATTTTTCCATTTTAGGTTCTTTCCTACAACTTTATTTGGGGAAAGACTAGGACTTTCTTTAAAAACAAAACAAAACTGAAAACCACTGTTGTCCATGAAAGATGTAGAGATCCTAGAGACTGGGAACTGATCAGTAAGTTCTTCAGATCAACCTATTTTCCAAGGGTACATCAAAAGGGTAATTTGTAATTAAAGTACCATGTCACTAGGACAAATTACAGCAGTCAGTTCAATAAAGCAACAAGGATCCATTTGACCCACAGAAGAAAGCAAGTCTCTTTTGCCTGATATTCAAGGCCCTCTGAAGTTGCCTGTGCACCTGACCTTTCTTTTGCACGACTCTCCAGAATGACCACTGATGTGTCTTAAGTCAGGTTCCCCAGAATCAGACACTGAGACAAAGATCCATGTGCAAGTGACTTATTAGGGAAGTGCCCCTGGTAGAAACCCAGTTTTAGCGTAGATGTGAGTTCTAACTCAAAATGTGTCCCGACTCCAGGCAAGGTGGCTGGACTTTCAAAACCTCCCACCAGTCATTCATTGACTCAGAGCTGCCCTGGCAGGATATGTATTCCCTGGCTCATCCAGCCCTCTGCAGTGGAAGGCAAAGCAGCTCCAGGAGCCCACAAAGGGTCCTCCACAGAGAATCTAGGGCAGTGGTTTTCAACCTTCCTAATGCCGCGACCCTTTAATACAGTTCCTCATGTTGTGGTGACCCTCAATTTCATTGTTAAAGATTGAACATAATTAAAGCATAGTGATTAATCACAAAAACAACAGGTAATTATATATGTGTTTTCCAATGGTCTTAGGCGACCCCTGTGAAAGGGTCATTCGACCCCCAAAGGAGTCGCGACCCACAGGTTGAGAACCGCTGATCTAGGGTGCAGGTCCTTCAGCATAAGGTCACAGAAGCCAGGCTAGGGGCACAGTGAAATGGTAAAAGACATCTGAAGGGATCTGAGTGGAACACACAGCCTCACACTAACCTCAGTCCCGAATCTTCACCAATCCCATGTGCCCTCTCTGAGTACACTGAACATGCTCTATTCCTTACTGCTCTGTACCTATGTTGGAGGCCAATATGTCTAATGGGTTTCATGTATCACATTAAAAATTTTTTTTTAATTTACTTTAGCCATAATTCTTGTAACTTTTCTACTCTTTGCTCTATAATAAAAGGAGTCATTGTTGACCATGGATCCGTTGTTGTGGCCTCTCTTATTTTCATTTTGATTCACACTTCATTGGCCAATTAGGAGGTAACACTTTATCCGGGTAGCTCATCCTTCATGCGTTCCTCAAATTCTTTCATCTTTGAGATTGTTTTTGTATTCATGAAGCCTTTGTGATGAAATGAAATCTTATCTGAGAATAGTATTTGGGGATCAGACTTTCCTCTTAACATAGTAACATATTGCTGTGGAGCATTCTGACACCAGCCTGCTGGTTTCTCCTTTAAAAAGTGTTTGCTTTTCTACCAAATACCCAAGTAGTTTGCTTCAACTTTGAATTTCAATAATTTAACCAGAATATATCCCAGTGTTGAACACTAAATCAAACTTTTTCAGAATTTTGCTGTTTTTCAGATTTAATTTTTGCTTTAATTCAGGAAAACATTTTGTTATTTTTATATACAGTTTCTAATTGTTCATTTTGAGTTTTCTTCTTCAGAAGCACCAATTGTTTTTCTCTTGGCTTTTTTTGAATTGTTTAATGGCTTTATCTTCCCATTGATTGTTACTATGAGAACCAAGTTTTTCTTCTACATATGTCATTTGATATCACTGTATTACAATAGTAGTAGTAAACAAAAGACTTATGATTGTAGATAATTATATTGACTGTTTGTATTTACATATTTAAAATACATTCATTGTAATTAGGCTAATCAAAGAAATCCAAGTGCAAAAGTAATATTATGTGTTTTTGTTTTCTTTTCCTTGTCATAGGGCATTATGGACATCGAAGCATATTTTGAAAGAATTGGTTATAAGAACTCTAGGAACAAATTGGACCTAGAAACATTAACTGACATTCTTCAGCACCAGATCCAGGCTATTCCCTTTGAGAACCTTAACATCCACTGTGGGGAACCCATGGAATTGGGCTTGGAGGCTGTTTTTGATCAACTTGTGAGGAAGAACCGGGGTGGGTGGTGTCTCCAGGTCAATCAACTTCTGTACTGGGCTCTGACCACAATGGGCTTTGAGACCACAATGCTGGGAGGCTATGTTTACAGCACTCCAGCTGACAAATATAGCAGTGCCATGATTCACCTTCTGCTGAAGGTGACCGTGGGTGGCAGGAAGTATATAGTTGATGCTGGGTTTGGACGCTCTTACCAGATATGGCAGCCTCTGGAGTTAATTTCTGGGAAGGATCAGCCTCAGGTGCCGTGCATCTTCCGCTTGACAGAAGAAGGAGGAACGTGGTACCTGGGCCAAATCAGAAGAGAGCAGTACATTCCAAACCAAGAATTCCTTAATTCTGAACTCCTGGAAAAGAAAAAGTACAGAAAGATCTACTCCTTTACGCTTGAACCTCGAACAATTGAGGATTTTGAGTCCGTTAATGAATACCTTCAGACATCTGCAGCATCTGTGTTTACAAGCAAGTCATTCTGTTCCTTGCAAACCCCAAATGGGGTTCACTGTTTAGTGGGCTTCACCCTCACCTTTAGAAAATTCAATTATAAGGACAATATGGATCTGGTGGAGTTTAAGACACTGAATGAAGAAGAAATAGAAGAAGAGCTGAAAAATATATTTAATATTTCCTTGGAGAGAAAGCTTGTGCCCAAACACGGTGATAAGTATTTTACCATTTAGAATAAGGAGTAGAAATGGTCTTCAGTATTATTTCAGGTACTGAAACTTCTTACCATAAAAAAATTCAAATAAATATAAAAGTAGAGAGAATAAAATAACAAACCCCTATTTATCACCAATTTTACCAGCTATCAACTGGCAGCCTCTCTCTCAAATTTCCTTAGTGACCCCACATGATATTAAAGAAAATCTTAGACATCAAATCATTTTCAACCTTAAAAATGTTAGCACATGTAGTTAGAAAACATTTATTTATTTATTTATTTATTTATTTATTTTTTTTTTAAAAAATATATTTTATTGATTTTTCACAGAGAGGAAAGGAGAGGGACAGAGAGTTAGAAATATCAATGAGAGAGAAACATCAATCAGCTGTAGAAAACATTTAAAAGAAACAGAACCACATGTCTTTTCAAAATTAACAATAATAAAGGTATTTAAAAGGTTTTCGTGGGAGAGAATAGTGATTTCTGCTAGAAAAGCGTCCATGCTGGTTGAATGTTGAATTCATAAAAAATGTTTACCCCATGGTTCAGTAAATGGAAAATTGAGGACATAGTTTTTATTAAATTCAACATGGATATGTGCCAATCTTTAATATTCCACATATGTAATTTAGGATTAGAATTCAACAGAGAAGAATGAGGCATGATATTGCCTCCTAATAGTTCTCAAGACAAGGCTTAAACCAACACATAGTAATGTGTGATTAAGCACTCAGAGAGAGACACAGCTAATAATTTTTTACATGGTGCTTTTGCAACCACAGTTCTTTATGTAGCATTTCCTTAATATAGATACACTGATATTTAGAAATTTTCAAATCCCTGAATTAAGTCATTTTGTCTAAAAGTAAAAATGATTGTGAATTTTAAAATACTTATCTGTAAAAACTTGATGTCTACAAGTACGTTAAACATTGTTGGCTAATACGATGTCAGTCATGAAGTGTGTGTTTGGCAGTGTTAGGAGACGATGGGCTAGGACTTCCTTGCATCCACTTTCTTATCTCCCAGTTATTTTCTTTTACTTCCTCCCATACTTTGTCGTAAGAGTGTATAGACCTGAGTGCAGATCCTGTGGACACTGGGTGAATTACGTCATGAATCTGTGGCTCTGATCCCTTGGAGGTAAAATGGGGATAATCCTATATAAAAGGCGAATATGCAAATAGACCAAATGGTGGAACAACCAGTTGCTATGACGTGCACTGACCACCAGGGAGCAGATGCTTAACACAGGAGCTGCCCTCTGGTGGTCAGTGCACTCCCACAGGGGGAGCGCTGCTCAGCCAGAAGCCTGGCTGACCGCTGGGGAGCATAGAAGTGGTGGCGGGAGCCTCTCTGGCCTCCGCAGCAGTGCTAAGGATGTCCAACTGCCCTTTAGGCCCACTTCCCCCGCAGGGAGTGGGCCTAAGCCATCAGTGGGACATCCCCCGAGGGCTCCTGGATTGCTAAAGGGCGCAGGCCAGGCTGAGGGGGACCCCTCCTCCCCAAGTGCACGAATGTCCTGCACCGGGCCTCTAGTACTTACATAATTAAGTGCTAGACAAGAGTCAGCACTCAATAAATATTTGTTATGTGGATGAATTGTCAAGTAACACTCCCTCCACATTCTGTGTGAAGTAGGGTTCGGTATCTGAAAGAGGAGCCGCACAACAAATGAGAGAAAAAGACACGAGATAATTTTGCAATATTGAGGGACCAGGCAGGCAAGTCCCGAAGGACTTCCACCCATGCTCAGGCCACTCCAATCTTTTATTGATCTGGAGTAGCCCTTAGGGTAAGGAGGTTTCAATGACACACAGATCAGCAGACAATTTCCAGGAATAGACAAAGTATCTGATTAGCTCATCAATAGATGATTTCCAGGAATAGGAAGAGTATCTGATCAACAATAATCAACAAGGATCTACATAAGTATCTAAGGAATTAAGTGAACTAAGGTGGGGATGATGCTTCAACTATTATTACCTAAATTAACTGGGTGGTTCCTAGATTAACTGGGTGGTGCACAGTCCTGACCTTTGCTAGGACTTCAAAGGTTACTAGCTTTTGGGGGTCTCTGTCTAAACTCAGCTAGTGAAGACAATGAATGGACTCCAGCAATGAATGAAGAATGTCAGTAATGTTTTTGATACTGAGTCAGCATTTGATGAAAGTTCTTCCATCTTGCTTTATTTCCTTAGCTTGAATCTGGTCCTGAATCTGCCTGCTTCTTCTTTGATTAAATATGAAGATAATATCAGATGGTCCCAATCTGACTGTGGCTTTGTGCTTCAGAATCGGAATCTTTCTTATCTGTAACTCACATTTTCTGTTTGTGAATTCCAGAATCAGGGTTATAATTTCAACTGCAGACTTGTTCTAACAGTACTCTCCCTTTTTAACTTGTGATTATCATAATGATAATGAAAAACAAAATAAAATGGAATAAGCATTGCTGAGAGAGGCACTTAAAATAGAGTCAGGAGGCTATGAAGGAAGTGGGCCCCGGCTTGCGCCTCAGTTCTCTGAGCTGCTGTTATGTTACTAACCTGTTGCTAACTCAGCTCCAGGCTGAGCCATAAACACCCTAGAACAACTGCTAAATGGACACATATGAACTTTACTTCCTCCTTGCAATGTTTGCTTTCCTCATGTGCATATTGGAACTAATCAATCCCTGGTAACCTAAGTCAGCAATCCCTCATTTGCATGAAAAAAATTACACGTTTTGGGTTTTGCCTTTATAAACCCTGTTTTCTTTATTCTCTCTAGAGTGCAGTTGGGTTGCTCCTTGAATTTGCATCTCTTGGACTGGAATCCTTTTGCTCAAGTAATTGCCTTTTGTTCTTTTTTGCAGCCTGAACGTCTTCTTTAGTTAACAGTAAATTTAAGAGAAAAGCAGTGGCAAGAATGGAAAAATGTTTGTTAAAAGAATAGGTTACTTTGGATGATGGGTGCTTCATGTACTGACGTAACAGTTGGGAGATACTGCTCAGGGTGGAGATTCTTGGGAGAGGTGGATAGGAGACCTGGCAAGAGCTTGTTAGTAAAATCACGTGGTTGATGCCAGAACTAAAGAGGATGTCAAGAGAGAAGTCTGCCAGCCTGGCTACTCTGGTCGCTGCCTCTCGAGCCAGGAAGGGAGCCGTCCTGGAAGCTTATCAGACTAATAGGTAGAAAGATCTCACAGCCCTTAGCTGGTTTATCGCAGTGGTTAGAGCATTGGCCCATGGACTGAAGGGTCGTGGGTTCGAACCCAGTCAAGGGCAGGTATATCAGTTGCAGGCTCGATTCCAGTCTGGTAGGGTGCGTACAGGAGGCAACTAATTGATGTCTCTCTCTCTCTCTTGCATTGAAGTTTCTCTCTGTCTCTCCCCTTCCTTTCCACTCTCTCTAAAAATCAATGGAAAAAATATCTTTGGGTGAAGATTAACAGAAAAAGGAAAAAGAAAAAAAAGAAAGGCCACACAGATACCACCAGGCAGGCATCAGCAGCACCCTGCCCACCAGTGGGTCCCAGCAGCAGTGGGACCAGGGAACCTCTGGTCCCTTGGTTCCCAGGGGAACCAAGAGCTCAGGTCCCTGACCACACATTGCCCTGTTGTTCCTATATCACCCTCCATCTTTAACCACGCCCTGTGGGCAGGGGCTTCTCATTCACTTGTTTTGTCTACACCACTAAACTATGAGTTCCTTTAGGAAAAAAAAATCCAAGTGCTTAATAAATCCAAGTCCCTAGTGGGAAAATAGTTTTGGTAATAAGAAAAACAAATTAAACCTTAATTGTGTGTGAATTCTTCCTTGTGGATTAGTACATGAGCCAAGTCTCAACTTCTGGAATCAGTCATTCTGGTGCGGTGCCTCTGTAAAGTCTCCCTAAGGCACAAATGCCTGTGGTTTCATCGTCCCATCACCTGAGCCAATCTATTCTATTTGGTCTTTTCTTTGCAAAGAGACCAATGACAGCTCACATTGGCATTTATCTTTCAGGCAGTGGTTCTCAATCTATTCTAACTTTACCCTTAATAGGACATTCGGCGATATCTGGAGACATCTGGTGATATCTGGAGACATTCGGCGATATTTGGAGACAATTGGTGATATCTGGAGACATTCGGCGATATCTGGAGACATCTGGTGATATCTGGAGTCATCTTTAGTTATCACAATTGGGGGAAGAGGTGCTACTGGTATCCAGAAGGTAAAGGTCTGCAATGCTGTTAACATCTGACAAAGCACAGGCCAGCCCCCACAAGAATTACTCATGCCAAAATGTCAATACAGTCATGCGCCACTTAATAATGGGGACATGTTCTGAGAAGTTTATTAGGCGGTTTTGTCATTGTGCAAACATCATCGAGTGCACTTACCTGGATGGTAGAACCAACTACACACCTAGGCTGTATGGTATAGCCTATTGCTCCTAGGCTACAAGCCTGTGCAGCATGTTACCAAACAGCACAACACCGGATTAAATCAAGCACCAGAGGAAACGAGGCAATCAAGAGACGCAGTGAACTTGAGATGTATGAGGCTGCTGCAGGCGTAACAAGGCATTCTGTTTTACAGCAAACTTTTTTTAATAAGTAGAAACAGCGTGCTCTAAAATAACCTTACAAGTATAGTATAGTAAATCCATAACCTGTAACATCATTATTTAGTATCAATAGCGAGTATTATGTGCTATACTTCCACACGACTGACAGTGAAGTAGGTTTGTTTAAACCAGCATCAGCACAAACAAGTGAGTGATGCAACAACATAAAGTCATTTGGTGACAAGCATTTTTCAGCTTCATTATAATCTTACTAGAGCCCCAGTGCACGAATTTGTGCACAGGTGGGGTCCGGTCACCCACCCTAATCTGCCCGATCGGGCCAGGTGGGAGTGGGGGGAAGGGCCATGGGTGGTTTGCTGGCTGGGCCCACCCCCAATTGGGGTGGAGGGGCCAATCAGGGGCAGGGTGGGCCGGGGGGGGGGCTGCAGGTGGTTGGCTGGCTGGCCCCACCCCCTGGTCGAATTCCTGGTGGGACTCCCAGTCGAGGGGACAATTTGCACATTAGCCTTTTATAATATAGGACGGGATGGGACCACTGTATATGCCATCCATTCTTGACTGAAATGCTGTGTGCACATGACTGTAGTGCCAAGGTTGAGCAACCTGCTAAAAAGGGGATCATGTGTTAAGTAAATGATAGCACTTTAGGCATCAGATAATGAGGTGAGGGTGAGGGGAAGGTCTTTTAAACTCTACATCTTTCTACTTTTCAAATGTTGCTGTGCAGATGACTATGGGCACGTACCTGACCATAGCTATTTGGCTATGTGATAAGACAGAAATGCTGTCTTGATACATGGCTTGATTTTTTTTTTCTTCTGAGTAAGTAGATTTTTGGAGAAGGCCCATCTAATGTTTTATAAAATTCAAATTCCTGGCACTGGTTGGGTTTTTCTTATACATGTTGTCCACGCATGAAGGAAGGATGTTTATGATTTCTAAAAATATCTCTGAGACATATAATTACTACTTTTAATGTTATCATGTAAAAATATTATCTAACTTTGTATGGTTATTTGGTACAAAATTAAGTGTATAGAGTTTTAGTAATTACCCAGGTGTTATTATTATTTTAAAAATCATTCTTTATAACTTCAGGGCAAATTCTGCAGTCACAGAGCTGAGTCAAGTTAATGTGATGATGGGAAATCAGTATTTGTCTCATTAAATTAGCACCATCTTATAAAATAATGAGATGACTTGTTCATAACTAGAATTCTACCATTAATAGGAAAAATAGGTTTACAGTTGTTTGTATGGAAAAGAATACAATAATTAATAAATAACACAAGAATAAACTCCATGTTTCACGTACTCCAACTGTAAACCTACTTTTGTCCCACCTTGTATGACCTCTGATCACAGGAAAGGATGTAATGGCACAAAATAAATGGGAACATTTTTACTCTTTTTTCATATGATTTCCACATCCCAGTACTATTTTAACTTAGTTTTATTTTATTTTTTCCCCCTGACTATGATATGCTCTTCTTCTGATACAGGGGAAGAGTTTTATAAATGTGATTCATCCTGAGAGATTGACTGAGTTTGATCACGTAAGAGCTTCCTATTCTTTGGTCTGAATTAAGGCTAGACATGGTGACAGAGATCTCTAGCAATTTAAAAAAAAGTACATTTTCACTGTTTTTTAGAGAGAGAGAAAGGGAGAGGAATAGAGAGATAGAAACATCATGATGAGAGAGAAACTGAAACATTGTCTGCCTCCTGTACAACCCCAACTGGGGATTGAGCCTGCAACTTAGGCATGTGCCTTGACCCGGAATCTAACCCGGTAACCTCTGCTCCTAGGTCAACGCTTAACCGCTGAGCCACATGGGCTGGGCTCCAGGAAATTTTATATAACAACATTTCTTATATGTATTACATCACTTAAATCAATCAGTAGTCACATTTCATCCCTTAATACTCCTTGACATTTTCCCTTCAGAAAGTAATTACTCTAGAATTTTAAAAAAGGAAACGATAATGGAAAGAAAGGAAGGCATTAGTCAGTGGTTCTCAACCTGTGGGTCGCAACCTCTTTGGCGGTTGCCTAAGACCATCCTGCATATCATATTTACATTACAATTCATAACAGTAGCAACATTACAGTTATGAAGTAGCAATGAAAATAATTTTATGGTTGGGTCACAACATGAGGAACTGTATTTAAAGGGCCAGAAGGTTGAGAACCACTGCATTAGACATAAGCCAATATTGTTTTAATTTCAAAGCACCTTTTGAAATGTCTAAGAGCACAGTGAATGCCAGGATAATAGGTTGTGATTCAAATCAAAGACAATGATGTCCCTCCTCACAGCACACCACAGGTTAATAAGCCAGGCAATCAAGAGACACAACCAGAATATAGCATCCTGTAGGAACCATGTCAGCTACCCTGAAGAGCTTCCCAATGTATTTTATTAATTGCTCCTGATATTGGTGGATAGGTTGAAATAATTTATAGACAACTATTTTCTTGGATGATTTGACAATTCAATTTTTGACACTCAATTTTTTAAAGTTTTCATGAGGGACTACTCGCTCTCTTGCAGACAGTGAGGACCAGAAAGGTTAGATAAATTTCATACTTCCCTGGTTTCCCTTCTCCATTTATTTTGACCCACTGTAAGGTAGGAAGTTAGACATGAGTGGCTGGAATGGGGCCTGCTCTGAGGTCTTGACAAGAGTTGGACCAACATTGCCTTCAGACCCCCTGTCTATGGGAGGCCCAGCAGCCAGCAGACCACCAGTGGGCGGGTTCAGACTCAGCCGGTTCTTGGCACAAGCTCAGAGGAAAACAACATGACCTCAATGTGACCTTACTAGGGTCCTGGACTAATTACAATAAAATTTGCATTGTGGTTTTGACCCCACCCCCCATGGGTTTTTCTGTATGCATGATGGGTAAGGGCATGTGCAGAATAAATATAGTTATATAATCCTTTTCTGTCAATCATCACTGAATGCAAATGAAAGTCTTTACCCAGAAAATCCCTCATTTAAATCATATAACCCAGGGGTTGGGGGTCACTGTCTCTCAAAACTGGCCTGCTCCTCGCTTGGAGTGTATCTTCAATAAATCCCACTTTGCTTTACTTTCTTTTTCATTGAACTTAAAATCTTTTCTGCATCAACAAGAAGAACCGAGGTCTCAGCCAGTAACCCCAATCGGTAACATCACTGCGCTGTTTTACGGTCGGATCATAGAATATTGACATGACATGATTGACATTACAAAGAATTAATCCTCTTTCTGTAGTTGGGAGGCAGGGGGTGAGGATCTAATTTTTTGAGGAAGGGTACATCACGAATCACATTAATATGTTAAGATGATTATATGTCCCATGTGATCTGGGTGAAGACACAGTCCATCAGCATTCTAGGCAAGGCAGTTTAGACAAGAAGAAAAGCCACAGCACCCACGGGTAATTGGTGGCCCTTGGCTTCTTCCCTGAGATCTCACAGGCCTCAAAAATCTTTACCCCCAGTGACTTTCTGGTTGTTTGCTTATTTTAGCCAATGTTTGATCCCGCTCATCCATTTTTCTTCCAAATCCAAAGCAATGGGAGAGCAAATGATTTTCAAGTTTTATGTTTTCATCTTCATATTCTAAAAATGGGCCTGAATGAAAAAGCATTTTGGTCCTATGAGTCTCTCCCACAAAGGAGCAGTGTCAGAAACACAAAGCGCTGGGGGACTGGCCGATATTCATCTCGGTCCAAGCTTCAGGTAGAGATGGTACTAGCACCATGGAAATTATGCAAGGCTGCACGCTCTGGTAACTTGTTTTATGAAATTAGATATATTTCCAGCAACAGGAAAGCACTGGGGATAGGTAGCTATTGTTTAAATCTGAGATAAAAAAAAATGCCCACTTTCAAAAAGGAGAGAATAGTGAACAGACCCTGTGTCTTCAAAGACGAGTGTGACTCAGCAGAATGAGGCATCTCACCCTGGAGGAGGAGGAAAGGGCTTTTCCTTTCGGGTCGGAGATGCAACATTTATAAAAAAGAATTCAAAGCTTCAGCCCTCTTGTGGTCTTTGTGACTCGGAATTGAATTTATTAGCCTGACAAATTGGTTTTGTCAGATGCCTTGATTTGAAAACCAAATCTACTCCTTGGCTGATGACCTCACAGAGGCCACACATCTTGCTGAAATGCCTGGAAGCGACTTCCAATGTTTGTCGATCCAGGCGACAGAGGACACAGAAGGGGGCTGCCTCCCAGGTGAGTCCATCACAAAACAGGATGCTTATCAGTCAGGGTGGACCTGGACTGCTCTGCTGCTCTGCACTCGACCTTCCCTACTGAACCCGCAGCTCCTATTGTCTCCTAACCAAAAACAAGAACAAACAGGGGCGTGGGAGCAAGACATGGTAGAGACTGTGCAACGGAGTCGAAGCCAGAACTGGAAGCCAGACTCAACGTCTGGAGGTATTGGCTGTATAATCCCAGAGCTATCCCTTTCTTATGCCCCACCTTCTCATGAGGCAGATGAGTAAAGTGGGTAAGGGTCCAGGCTCTGAAGTCAGACACATCTGCCTGTGTCCTCTCTGAGCCTCAGTTTCTCTATCTGTGAAACAAGGATAAAAATATTACCTCCTTGTATTAGTCACAGTTCCTCCTGGAAACAGAATCAACAGTGATGTGTGTGTGTGTGTGTGTATGTGTGTGTGTGTGTGTGTGTTTAGAGAGAGAGAGAAAGTGAGGGAGAGAGGGGGGGGGAGAGAGAGAGAGAGAGAGAGAGAGAGAGAGAGAGAGAGAGAGAGAGAGAGAGAGACTTATAAGGAATCAGCTCATACGATTGTGGAGGAACTGCAGCATGGACAGGAAACCCATGAGAGCCAATGTTCTGGTTTGAGTCTGAAAGCATTGGCCCTAGACCTGGGAAGAGCAGGTGAAAGTGAGTGTCAAGGGCAGTCTCCTGGAGAATTCCTGTCTGCTCAAGGGAAGCTGATCCTTTTTTTCTATGCAGGCCTTAAAGGCAAGTCCCACCCACATTATGTAGAACAATCTGTTTTCTGCAAAGACCACCAATTTAAGTCTTAATCTCACCTAAAACAATCTTATAGAAACATCCAGAAGAATGTTTGACCAAACATTGGGGCACCCTGTGGCTCAGCCAAGTTGACACACACAATTACCCATCACACTCATGCAATCCTCACAAAAGCCCTATGAAATGAGTATTGTTTGAGAAGCACATCTCCCAAACTCATACAACAGTCATTTTCATTCCTTCGTGTACCAGGGACAAAGTCAGCAGTCACCGCAGCTCTCTCTTGCTCGCCATACATTTCTGAATGCACCCCTTCTCCTCCACGTCCCCTCCATATACACTCATTCACTGCTTCTTGATAAGAGAGCTAAACACATCCAAC